GATTCATCAACATCAACTGTAAAAGAAGCATCAACAACATCCTTCCATTTATTCCTATAATCACCCCCATCTACAGGGCCATTATAACAAGGAACATGGTTGGTTGTCATAGGTAATAAATCACACATTTGGTTACTTCCAACACCAAAAGACCCATTTCCACCAGAACGATTTTCCTCGGTAAATCGGCGAATACCACTTTCCATAACGTTACTAACAACAAACAATTGTACTATGTTGGGAATCATACTACTAACAAAACTAAGAAATTGTCTGACATCACAATCGTCTAGAATCTACATAACTATATTTGATCCAAAGAATTTAAAAGATCGACGTATTTGGTTAATGTGTAGCCTAGACTTGGAAGCAACTAATGTAATTAAACTGGCGAAGTTGATAACATTGCTTATATATACGTCAAAGCATGTGTAGTATGGAGAAATATATTGCATACATTCTTCGATACGGTACCATTTCCCTCCACTAGAAACTGGCACTTGATAAAATCTCGTATACAATTCTAGAACATGTAATGAAAGTATAAAAAACACAAATATATTGCATATATGGAAATATATGGAACATAAACACACAAATACCCTAATTTTAGCTCTCCAGAACAGACCTCTGGAATGTACGGCAATTTCGGAGTACATTCTGAAATATACTTTTTCAGTCTGAAACGTACGGGGTTTCAGATTCTCGACCTAATTACTAACAACCACCCATAGCTCCGGAACGAAAATAAATGTTCCAGATTATCGTATTTCAAAATATGTTGACCGAGAATGTTCTTACGTGCTTCGGAATACGCTATTTCGGAGAAAGTGGTCATTTCTAAAAAATGGTTATTTTTATTAAGAAAGTCATTTATAAGGGTTAGTTTATTCAATTACCCTCAAATATGACAATTAAGTCTAAATATATTAAGATAATCGCCTAAAATAGATATGTAATAAGGCTATATCATATATGTATGCATATATACATATATATGAAAGAAAAACATTTTTTTCAGTTTTCTTCCCGCGCATCTATTAGACTATTTGTAGGGGCATTTTGATTTTTCTTTTTTGGAAAAATGTTGCATATATATATATATATATATATATATATATATATATATATAGGCTTAGGTTATTTTGTTTCTACTAACTATTGTGTGCCAGAATGCACAGATCTGGACCATCGGATGGAATAGAATCAAATGTCCTGATCTGAGAGTTTATGATATTACAATAGGGTAACATGCACCATATAATCAAACAATTTTCAGCATAAGGGTATTTTGGTCAATTTACCTATATTAAAAAAGGAAATTTCCAGAATTTAAGGGATAATTAAATCCTTTATTTTTAAAAATCTGAATATTTTAAATTAATTCAAATTTAAAAATCCGATTTTATTCTGTAAGAATGACAGAATGCCAACCATAAACTAGTAAATATATTTTCGGTTTTATTCTTGCAGAATACATTTCCAATGCAGTTATATTTGATAATTGACCTGCTTTAAGAATAAGATATTATTCATATACATCCAACTTGGGTCTAAGATTTTATTCTTAATATACATCCGAAATTAAATACAAATTCATACATATTCTTACAGACTAATATCCTTATACATTTTAATATAGTTATACATATTCTAATAGAATATCATCGAAAATGAATAAAATTCTTAAACAATAGCATTCTTGCATATACAATTATTGAACAAATACACTTGATCGTCTTCAATTGTCCATATAATCAACTTGATCTTCACATATATACTTGTTGTTGAACTCGATTCCAAATATTTCTCTTGTATGATCAATATTGAATTCCTTCTCCATGCAATTATGAAAGAATAAGATACATTACTCGTTACTATTACTAGTTAAACAAATATACTTGTTGTTAACAAACATTCTCAAATACATTCTAAACAGAATGCATTTATATAAATAAATTCTAACAGAATACATTACAGAATGCACTTAAATCATAGTCTTTTCTTCTATATGCATAAACATTCTAAAGCATGTATAAATGTATTATGTCAGAATTACTAGCAACACATGTTTTATGTAATATTTATATTCTCATAGAATGAAAGTTGTGAATTGCACCAAAACCCATAAGTAAAAATTGAAGAAAATGCAAAAACCAATGAGTAAGTGCAAAAAGTATAACAAGTTTTAGACATGATAGATCATACAAAATTAAATGCTTAGGTTGAATTGGAACTTAAGCATTGGAATCCAAGATTTCATTATAACAGAATTGGAATTCGTGATTATATTCTGGAAGAATTACCCTCATCATATTAGATACTAAGGCGATTTTGCTACTGCTACTAATTGAAGATTATTCCTTTGGTGCTTGATATTCATGAGGAAGATAAAAGATAAACTTTTCACCAATGTCTTTTTCAAATATCAAATTCTACAAGATAGAATACAAACATGATAAAGTAATTGTTTTATATGTTATCTGAAACTATTCTATAATTCTATGTGCCTGAAGTCGGATGACTTCACCATCTGATTTTTTGATGTACTGGTAAAATTCAGGTTGAGCAAGTGAAGCATTGACTGAAGACTTCACCATCTTTATATGATGGATCTCAAAAAATCAAGAATATAGTATCAAATGGGTAAATAAAATTAAGGAAAGTCAAACACTTACATATAGTGAACAACTTCCATTACAAAGCCCCTGAATGCAGCTCCAATAGGTTCGCTCGTGGTTGAACAGATCGCAAGGAAAGGAGATCTAATCTCCGGCAGGCTTCCCTTGGTTCACTATCTCCGTCTCCTTCAGCCACCAATCGTGGAAAGGAAAGGAACGGAGGCAGCAGTGTTGCCGTCAAGTGGCAGCGAAGGCTGATCCTTCTTCTATCCGGCAACAATCACGCATGGAGGGAAAGACTTCGGTCCTCTGTTGATCGGAGAAGAAAGAAACACAAAAACAATCAGAAAATGGCCGGTGAATCTTAATCTATCGCAAGGAAGGGATGCAATCGGCGGTGGGAAGTCGTTGATTTTCTTCTCTTTAGTGGTGATGTTCCAGGAAACGAAGGTGAATGTTGCCGGCAATTGTGATGAACTGGTTATGGGTTTCGACAAAAGGGGTCGATGATATATAAGGTTTTAAAACTGATTTTACCAAATTAAAGGGATATTAAATGGTTTAAATATTTACTATAATTAGATATAACCAAGATTACTATCATACCCTTATATTAATTAATAATGATTTAATTTTTCTTAATTTCTGATTGGTGCATTTAGGCACACAATATTTGTTGGAAACATTTGAACCTCTCTCTCTATATATATATATATATATATATATATATATATATATATATATATATATATATATTCAACTAGCATAAGCACTACCAAAAGCCCTTTGGTGGGAATTATATGATATATGACATGTTTATAATGTATCCTATCTATCTATCTATCTATATATATATATATATATATATATATATATATATATATATATATTCAGCTAGCATAACCACTACCAAAAGCCCTTTGGTGGGAATTATATAATATATGATGTATCCAAAATGCATGTTTTACGATTTGAATGTAATATATATATATATATATATATATATATATATATATATATATATATATATATATTCTTTATGGATAAGATTCGTGAACTCATCATATTTGACCTTAGCATTTATCTCAAGTAAGGCTATGGGTAATGTTGACAATGTATTCATCCGTGAAATTGATTCCATATCTTCATCCGTGAAATTGATTCCATATCAGTGAAGAACTTGTGAACAAGAGAGAGAAAGAGGAAAGGAAGAGAGATATATAGAGAAGGCGATGAGTATTTTGGGAGAAATGGTTTTGATTGGTTGTGAGAACCCGTGACCGGCTTCAATCACCACTACCTTTACACCTATTGGGGGTGGGTTGACGCGTTAACATCCCCTCCACATAGATCTTTACGTGCAGAAACACCCCATACATGCGTGGGTGGGTTTCCTATGTGGCAATCTAAGATGCCGTTTTTTTCGAAGCGGAAATGTTTAAAGTCTGCGGACCACCTCTGCAACCCTCTGTAGCAGAAAATGGGAACCAAACGGCTGCAACACGTAATAAGAAGCAAACAATTTTCAACAGTCCAATCATAACCACACTCCATTTCTTCTTTTTAATTTAATGACAAAAGAAAGAATAAAAGATAAAAAGATAAAAAGATAAAAATTATGGAGTAGTAACCATTTCCAATAGCTAGTAGTTTTGGTAATGAGTTTGTAGTGAAGTTGATATCGGGCTAAGTTGACAGTACCTTTTTAATAGGTTGGTTGTGACCACTCCTCTTAAACTAATGACCTTTACCTCAACCAAACAACAAACAACTCTTATAAAAATCTTTGAGTAAAGCTCAAGAATGGTCCACGTAGTTATGTTTGGTAAGTTAAATCCTACAAAAAAAAATCTTTTTTCAAAAAAGTTCATTATCAATAGGTTTTATTCCATATTTGGTTCAAGTTATTTTAAACATACATATTTTTTGGTTGTTAACTTTTTTAAGAAGTAAATTACCCATGTGACTTCAATCCAACTTTTGATTTTGTTTTGATTTGGTCCTAACCTTGGATTTTGAAATTTAATTTAACTTTAAACTAAATTTATTGCTAAAAGTTCTAAAAATGCAACCAAAATTGTAAATTTGCATTAAGTACCATTCACCGTCGTTGGTTTAAAAAACCCACAAAAATCCCTAATTACAAAAAATAACCCATAAAAAATAATTTGTAATTAAAATAAGAATACAATAAAGATAATAAATATTCATTTCGTGCAGCGCCAGTGTAACATCCGAAATGCAGGTAACTAGATTATAACCCGCGTTAAACGCGGGAGAACGTATAAAAAAAAAGTACAAATCGTTGAAGGACATATTTATAGACAATTTTTTATGTTAAAAAGAATTTGATGCATTAATAGGTTAAAATGAATTTATTCAATTCTTCAATACCTATATTCAACAAAATTAATATCATAAAATAAAATAGGAGATGAGTTGACGATTAAAAAAATTAACGCTACCTTTGATATTTTTTCCGTCAGCCATTGATTACCATCGTAAATAACATCTTTAACATGACGGTCAAACAATATAAAAGAAGCAGACTCAATTTCATATTAAACACGAATTACGACCCTCACCCTAAAAATTATAAAATGATACTTTAATGGACAATGAAATAAAATTGGAAACATTCGAATATAGATTAATGGTACAAGAACTTTACAAATGTAAAATTATGAACTTATTTGCTGTAAACATCATAAACTCCACCACAACCATCACAAGTAAATGGTTCATCATTAGTATCATCATCATTCTTACTTACTTTTTTGGAACAGTCATGACAATAAAAAAAGAATACCAGCCTTCGTCTAAATCAAAACCGATGATAGTAGTAATGATGGATAAACCAATTTCCTATTTCATAAATTTTTTAAGAAATATATAAAAAAAATTCATATATATATATATATATATATATATATATATATATATATATATATTCATTGTGTTATGCGCCATAGATTTATAAAATTAATGAAAATATATTAATATTGTTAAGTATACCTCATTGTAATCTGGAATATCATCAATGTTCTTGATTGGAGAACGGAGGTAGTAATCCTCTGCCTTGGCCACAAATGTATCGGTGTTAAGTTGTGTAGTACTAATGGAAGACTCAACATTCAAATCCATATCAACAATACTACATATAAGAAGAAAAAATGAAGAAGTTAAGAAATATAAATAATTAATCATTAAGAATAAGGAAAAACAAACATTAAGATATTAATTAATGATAAAAAAAACATACATTTTTTGAATTCTGAAATGTGAGTAATGTCATAATTAATATGCAATCTCGACCCAAAGAAATAGTTACCCACTTGAGGCTAACCTGGTATTGAGCTTTGCCATACGTAAGAGAATGATAACACCTGCATTATCATTTTGATGTAAACAAATCATTTTACAACAAGTATGTATAATAAGGCAATATCAAAAGCACATTGCCTTTTTTTACCTTTGGACAAAAAAACATATGCTGATTGCGAAACACAGACACAAACATATATTAAAGAAATATATGAATCATTCCCAAAAAAATAGTTTTCACTGCAAGGGCAAATAAGTCATTTTGAAGAAATAATATATGTAGACACTAAACCTTTCAGGAAGGTACTCCACTTTTACTTTTCTGTAATTCTATTTTCATACGATCTAAACACATAATCAAATCCAAACACAAAACTAATTAAACTGAATTTTACATCATCAAATACAAACACAAAATCCAATCCAAACACAGACACACACATACACACACATCTAAAACACAAATAGACACACACATCAAGGGTAAATAGGTCATTTTACAACAAGTATGTATAATGCGACAATATCAAAATTACATTTGTTTTTTTTACCTTTGGACAAAAATGTATATGCTGATTGAGAAACATAGACACATGCATATATTAAAGAATATAAGAATTATTCCAATTAAAAGTAGTTTTTATAGGAAGCCTAAATAAGTCATTTTGAAGAAATAACATATGTAGACACTAAAACCTCCGGGAAGGTACTCCATTTTTACTTTTCTTTATTTATTTTTCATCCAATCCAAACAAATAATCCAATCTAATTAACACAAAACTAAATAAACTAAATTTTACTTCATCCAATCCAAACATAGAATCCAAACCAAACACACACACACACACACACACACACACACTAAGAGAGAGAGAATAGAAAAATCGTTTATCAAAAACCCACTAATAAGCCATTGATACATATACTGAACAAATAAACTATAATCAGATGTAAGAAATTAATCAGTAAATCAAAAAAAATTGCTAACCTTATGAAGCTGGTATTCAAACGTGATGTTGTGAAGTCCAAATTTCACGAAATTGTGATAACAATTGAATGAGATTATACTTATACATAATTTTGAACAACGATTTTGGAAAGGATATGAAGAAATTAATACTGTGATTCTATCATACTATTTTAAATTCTTTGATTTCAACTTAATTTAGTTAATATTAATTTTATTTTATTTTATGATGACATCATCAAAATGATCCAATGGCTAAAATTAATCAAGGAAACTAAATAAATGGTCGTGATTGTAGAAGGTGATGTCATCAAGTTTATCTTTTAATATATATAGACACTAAACCCTTCGGAAAGGTACTCCATTTTTAATATTCTTTATTTATTTTTTCATCCAATCCAAACACATAATCCAATCCAATTAACACAAAACTAATTAAACTGAACTTTACTTCATCCAATCCAAACATAGAATCCAATCCAAACACACACACACACACGCAAACACACACACACAGAGAATAGAAAATATGTTTGTCAAAAATCCACTAATAAGCCATTGATACACATACTGAACACACAAACTATGACCAGATGTAAGAAATTAATCAGTAAATAAAAAACATTGGTAAGCTTATGAAGCTGGTATTCGAACGTGATGCGGCAAAGTCCAGATTTCACGAAATTGTGATAACAACTGAATGAGATTATACTTATACATAATTTTGAACAACGATTTTGGAAAGGATATGAAGAAATTAATATTGTGATTCATATCATACTATTTTTAATTCTTTGATTTCAAATTCTATAATTATGAAAGGTATATACAAATTACTTGATTTTAAAAAGGAAGGAACCATATTTATGTTTTGACAATTATGCTGAAATTTATTTCACTTCAATACATTCAAATTAATAAATTTAGTCACCATTAATAAGTTTTCAACTTTCCAAACGTAGTTAACTTAATTTAGTTAATATTTATTTTATTTTATTTTATGCGACGTCATCAAAATGATCCAATGGTTGAAATTAATCAAGGAAACACAATGAATGGCCCTGATTGTTGAAGGTGATGTCATCAAGTTTCTCTTTTAATATATAGAGAGATTGCACTTTGACCCTTGGAATGAATTTATTTTAGCAAATGAACTCTCTACGTACGCTTGGCGTACCTATGTGTACGCTTAGCGTACTAGGATGGCATGATCGCGGATTGGCATCACGTACGCGGGGCGTACGTGGCTGGAGTCAAAACCATAATTTTTGGACCTTGAACCACTATCTAAACAAACTTATGTCATTTGGACCATACCCTAAACAACCTCAACTGCCTCTTTTCGTCCTTAAACCCTATATTTGCAAGAAAGTGTGAGTTTTGAGCTTAAAGGTGATTTTGGTGGCCATTTTAGTAGGTTTTCAAGAAGGAGAAGGTGGTGTTCAAGCCTTGAACGAGGGAGGAGATTTTGGATCCTGCATCTAGAGCATCTTGGGAGATTTTGAAGGTAAAAAGATAACACCTTTCTTATCCTTCTTGCTTGTTGAGTTAGGGTTTTGTAAAAGTCCATTTTTGAGTCCATGAATCCTCTCTTGTGAGTTGGAGTGACTCCAGAGGTTAGGGAGGTTAGATATGATGTTCTTTGGCTTGGTTAAAGCATAAAAATGCCAACTTGATGATTGTTATGGCTCCATGCATTAATTTAAGATCTTAAGGAGGGTCTTAATGGATTAATTGAGGTGTTGGGTTCACATATGGCATGCAAAGGCATAAAGTTGCCAACATTATACCTTGGGACCTTTAAAATGACCAATATCTGGAATTTGAGCAAAGAGTCTTCATGCACTAAGCACTTAATGGACTTTGTGCAAAGCAGTATGTACGTTGGGCGTACTAGTTAGTATGTTGCGCGTACATCCCATGAACGTAGTACGCTAAACGTACTGAAAGGTTTCGTTGGGCATACGCTTCCAGTTGGCTTTGGGCTTCCAATGGCATTTTGGGACATTTGGGCCCTAATTAACCTTGGGCCTGGAGTTTCTAGTATTTCAGCCTCTGAACTTGTTATTGGGCCATTGATGGCATGATTGGGCCTTATAGCCCATTATTGGACCTTGTGTGCTAGGTCCATTAATGAAGGAAAGAATTTTGGGCCATAATGGAGGGACTTGGACTTAGGATTTTGGGCCCTTGACTAGGTTGTGTCATAATCCTAATTAGAGTTATTTGTATATTTATACAATATGAGATTTTTGATTGGTAGTCGAGCAACTATTGTTTTCAGCAGACTGAGGCGAGTCTTCTCACTATATAAATGGGACGAAGGCACCAATGAGGCCCCATTATCTGATATGTGGATTGTTATTGTTATGAATTAAATGTATGAAGACCTTGGGTGTAGCGCGTGACACTTATGTGAAGACCATGGGGGTAGCCCATGGCACCTGGATATCTGACTATGGGTGTAGTCCATGGATTTTCAGGTAAAGACAATGGGGGTAGCCCATGACACTTGGATGTCAGACCATGCAGGTAGCCCATGGCATTCCAGGTAAAGACTATGGGGGTAAGCCATGGCACCTTATGTATGTTGCATGGTATTCCATAGTTGTATGTTATGTGATATTTTGAGATCTCATTAAGCTTTTTCTTACAGTTTATTTGGGTGTTTCAGGTACTTCCGATACAAAAGGGAAGGGCCCGGCTTGATGGCGCATCATTCACTCTCCAATACTTTCCGTATTTATCTATTTTCATACTCTGATATTTGATACAATATGATGTAATGGATTTTTTGGAACAAATTATTAATGTACTTCTATTTTAAAAAATGAAAATTTTTACCGGGTTTTTGGGCTGTTATAAGTTGGTATCAGAGCCTTGGTTTGCGGGATTCAGGCGGACTCTCGGGTGTGCCAGAACTCAAACTGAGGAAATGGTAAACCTTTTTCAAAAGAAACAAAGGTTAAGTTTTTATGAAAATGGTTTTCTTGAACCATGCTAGGAATATATATTTCTTGGAATTGATGATGGCTCTGTTATTTGCTAAGTGTATGCTTTCAAAGTTGTATATGTTTAGGATTGCATAGCCCTAGAATGAAGGATTCTGCCTTATTTCATGTTCCTTGTTTGGTTGTGTCTTAGGGTAGAAGATTTATTTGACAGACTATGTGATTCTATTTATGTATAACTTGCATGCATAGGGCAACCTGTGATGATTGAATTAGGTTTCTGGTTCGGTGAGGATTGAGAAATCCTAGAATAGTCTAGGATTTGAGTTTAGGCTGAGTTTTGTGGGTTATGTTTATCTGTGGTTGGGTGAATTAGAGGTGTTAGGTATGGCCTTGGGGAAGGTACAGGTAGGTGTGGATGGTACTATTGGGCCCATACTACTGAAAGAACTGGACACGTACCCGAAAAAATGACAGACCTTTGAGGAGTACGGTGAGGAGGAATCCCTTCGAACTTCCTTATCAATTCCTCTTTATGTTGTATTTTTTAGTTGAGGATGGTGATGATTACACGAGGAGGTTTAGGTTCGGGATCAAGATCAGGATTAGGTTCATGCTCTGGTGCAGAGCCCATTGATGAGAGGCTGCGCGAGCTTATCGCGGCTGAGGTTACTCGCGACATCCTTGACGCTACCTCGGTGATCTTTGGTACCGTCAAGGAGGGGATCATGGAGATTATGGAGGAGCGGCTCAGGTCTTTCGAGTCGAGATTAGGACTCAAACTCCCTCATTTCGGGAGTTCAAGGCGTGTGCTGCGCCTGAGTTCTTTGGGGTTAAGGACCCCATCACTAGTCGCCGCTGGGTTGCTGACATGGAGAATGCCCAGCGCACGAGCTTTTGCCCTAAGGCGATAACGGTGGGGTTCGCGTCCTATATGCTAAGGGATCGGGCGCGAAACTGGTGGGAAGAGGTTACCTGCGAGGTAGGATTGGCGGGTGTGGCTGAGATGACATGGGAGGAGTTTTTGTGGAGGTTTGATCGGGAGTTTGCACTGGCCATTGAGGTGCAGCGGTTGGTGAGGGAGTTCCAGTATCTTCACCAGACCACGGAGACTGTGGCAGAGATCACCGCCAGGTTCAGAGAGAGAGAGAGAGAGAGAGAACTGTTGGTAATGC